AGATCATCTACCACCTGGACGGGCAGGAGACGCCGTACCTGGTGAAGCTGCCGCTGCCCGCCGAGCGCGTCACCTTGGCGGACTTTAAGGGCGTCCTGCAGCGGCCCAGCTACAAGTTCTTCTTCAAGTCTATGGACGACGATTTCGGGTGAGGATGGCCCCCGCCTCGCCCCCGGGGGACCCCGGCCCCTCCGGCTTCCAGAGGCCGCTCGGCAGTTGGCGCTCCCCTGGCTGCACTGGCTCCCAGCCCTGCTCTGGGTGCTGGGGGCCCTCGGCCGTTTGGGCTCCCCTTGCTTGTTTCAGACCCGGGAGCCCAGCCTCTCTAGGGACGCTCCTTTCGCTCTCGTTTAGGGGGGCGTCCAACTCCCCAAGAGCAATCAGGACCAGCCCAGGAAGCCCGCTCACCTCTGAGACCAGCGGCTCAGACAGACACACACACACACACACACACACAGACACACACACACACCCCTCCTCCCAGTCCCAGAGCCCGACCCCCCCCCCCGCCCCGCCTGCCCAGGGAGCCACCTTTTAAACCCAGACTCGGGGTGTTTGGCACTCGGCCCTCTCCCTCTCCCTCTCCCCAGCTCCACACTCCGAGCCATATTTGGAGCACCGAGCCTCCCAGCGCTGTGCTGCGGGGCTGGGAACTGCGGGGAGGGGGAGGCGAGGGGTGCCCGGGCGCCAGGCTGGCCGCTCAGGCCTGCAGACCGGGAGTCTAGCTGCTCCCCGTTTCCTTGCGGGGTGTGTCGGAGGTTGTCAAGGGAGCAGAATGCCTGACCCCGAAGGAGGAACCCGCACTAGCCCAGGTGCTGATTGCCTCCCCAGATGGGGGCCTTTTCCCTCCGGAGGGTGGTCTTGGAAAGGGCCTCGGAGCCGGGTAGGAGGCCCGGGAAGCGTCCCCCGGCGCCCACCTCCCCTCCCTGCCGGCCTGGTGCCCTCCTCCCCCAGCTGTGGGCTCTGGACCGGCCGAGTTTGGAAGCGGCGACTTCCCCTTTAAGGAGGGATGGAATGTTGGAGCCGGAAGGTTCCTTAGCAGCTGGCCTGGGAGGGGGAGCCTGGCCATCCCCGCACACACACCCCAACTCCTGGGGGACTGGGGGCGGGGAAGGCCCCCACACTAACTGGGCGCTGGGCCTGGAGGCCTGTGGGGAAGCCTGGAGGCAGCCTCTGCAGCCCTGGCCAGAGGCCTGCACTGCTCTCAGCTGAGGCCCCAGCGCCGAGTGAGGGAAGACATTCTTCTCCCCAGTGTTCGTGCGTCCGGCCAGCCGGCTTCTCTCCCAGGACCTCGGCCCTCCTGGCCCTGGGCAGCAAGCACCGTCTCCCTCCTTCGCCTGGCATGCTTGTGTCACCTTCCCCCCTGGAACTCAGGGTTCGATGAGCCCATGAGCTCCTGTGTGTGAAAGTGCTTTTCCAGTGGAAAGTGCTGTGCGGCTTCTAACCTCCTTTCTGTTGTCAGACTTACCCTCTGGCGGGGAGCTCCGATGTCTAATATTGTCTGGCCTCAGTCCAGAGACAGACACCCCTGCTTTCTGATCCTGGAGGTCCGGCCTCTCTAGGGACTCCCCTTTGGAAAATTCGGAAGAAGGATGAAATCCATCTGCAAGGGATGGGAGGGAGGGGGCAATGCCTTGGCCGGGTAAGAGAATAGAGTTAGGAGAGGCTGAGATACTGCCTCAGGGTATGGGTAGGGGCAGATCAGCTGGAGTCCTGTGCAGGGGCCCTACCCCCAGGCCAGGCCTCACTGCAGTCACAGGAGGCCCCCCATTACATCGGCTCACTGTTGACAATATTGTTCTTTAAATTCACTGTCAGTCCACTCACTCTTTCTTAGCTTGACCAAATCAATAATAGGAAATCACCCATTTTCTATTTATATTTCTTTATAAGATATGTTAAAAATAAATGTTAACTGTTGAATTAAGCAATGTGCATTCAGGTAACACCTGAACACATCTTGCATATGTCGCTGGTACTTGAGCCATCCTTGGTAAAGTATCAGAGTAGGCCATTTTTACAGGGTTGAGAACAATGCTAAAAATGAAATGGAGGAGATTGATTTTGGAGATTGATTTTGTTTTTATCCCCAGAAGGATTAATGAGCAGACCTGGTAGGTTTACCAGGAGCAGACGTCTAATAGCTGAGGAATAAAGGAGTGTGTGTGTGTGTGTGTGTGTGTGTACACGAACACATTTAACAAACTCTTTATGGCGCTTACAGTGTACTAGGCACTGATCTAAGTGCTTTTCTAACTTTTACTCATTTAATTCTCTTAACAGCCCTATGAAGTAGGTAGTAATACCATCAGTTTACAGATGAGGAAATTAGAGCACCAAAACCTGAAGTAACTTATCCAGGTCACACCGTCTGGCTAGTTAGTGGCAAAGCTTGATTCGACATCAGGAATCTGGCTCTAAAGTCCAAGGCCTTAATCCCACTGTTGTAGGTATTACTATTATTATCACCATTTTACAGATGCATCCTCTCTGAGGGAGATGCTGAGCCTTGGCAAACTGTAGAGGTGATAGGGCTGCCACCTATCCTCGCCCCATAAGAGGAGGTCAGGCAGAGGCCAGTGACCCCTACTGACAGCTGGGCGGTGGGTCAGAGGAGGAGGGCTGCTGTCTCTGCATCCCCTCCAGGCTCACCCTCTGAGGCGCTGGTTTGTGAGGTCTCCAGAAGTATTTGTCAAGCTCAGGGTAGGCTCACCCCTCTTAAATTATTTGGGAAATGGAAGAAGAATAAGCATTTTTACCACTGAGGAGATAGTGTACCCAATGCTAGAGTGGCCTTGAGCTGTGGGAAGGGGCAACATGGGAAGTAGAGTCACTAACTATGTTCCTCCTGCTCCATGTCACACTGTCCTGCCTCTGGGCCTTTGCCTGGAACACACTTCTTCCCCCTGCTTCTCCGTGTCCAAATTCTCCTGTCGTCTGGGTTCAGCTTTTAAAGTTATGGTATTTTATCCTATTTATGCATCCACCTGCTCCTAGCCAGGACTTGACATCTGTATCACTCAGCAGGTGTCTGTCCAATGAACACCTCTGCTGGTCTTACCACTCTGACCACTTCCCACCTGGAATATGCTTATGTGGACTGTCCACTGGACTGTAACCTCAGAGAACAAGGCAGGCTCCAGGTCTGATGCTGCTTGAGGTTCATACAACGGCAAGCACGGGATCTAAAACTCACTGGGCTCTCTCTCTCAGCAAAGGCTTTTTAATTGCATGAACGGTGAATGATGAGCAGATGTGTTTGGTTCCTGCCCTTGCAAACTTACTCCTAATTAGAAAGAGAGTATGGATCTTGCTGAAAATTCACAGAGTTAGAAACTAGCTTTTATGGTATGCCTGGACTGTGCCAGGCATTTACAAATCCCATTTACCAGGATGAGACAAAGGCTTGGAGAAGTTAAACTTCTCTAAGATGGGAGGGCTAATAAGTAGCAGAATTGGAATTTAAACCCAAGTTCGTGAGAGTGTGGTGTGTGTGTGTGTGTGTGTGTGTGTTCACGCGTGTGTGCTCGTGTGCAGTGGAACCCTGAGCCATTTAGCTCCACTTGGGAAGGGGGGCTTTCTGAGGCTGATCAGCTGATCGTTATGAGTCAACAGAGCCTTGGCGACCTGTCAGTGACCCCCAGAAAGAGAGGAAACATCTGTAGCTAGAGCTGTGTGGTGGGGCCTGCTGGGGGAGAGGGTTGTGGGGACTCAGCCACGGTTTCCCACCACAGGGAGACCCTCTCTGAAGCAGGTCACAGAGTCCCTGCCATGTGTCCCACGCACCTCTTTTCCTTTTGAGCCCCAGTTCCCACAGGGGGCTGCAAGCTTAGGGTGTCCTGTGGCTGGACTGGCTGACAGGTCTGAGCTACCTCTCTGTCCCTTCTCTCCCGCCTGTTCTGTCTCCAGGCTTTCTGCCATGATGGCCCTGAGCAGGATGATTTGAGCTGCTTTCTCGGGGTCGTTGTGGGGCTGGAAATGATGGAGGAGCCAGGGCTGGATGGGAGGGAGGAGGGTAGGCTCGGCCTTCGAACTTGGCTGTGAGTCCAAGAATGTGAAAATCGCAAGGAGCCAAGCACGTTCCCAGTTCTGGGCAGAACTTCTTCAAGAACAGGAAGACTGGGCTTCGCAGCCTCCTTCCTTAGTGTCTTCCCTCTCTGCTCACAGCTCCAGGCATGTGTCTCCCTCTTGCCCCTAATCACATCTTTCCAGCTCTGTCCTCCTGGGTGTTTGATGCAATCTGGGGGACCTCAAACTATTCCAGTTTCTTTCGCTGGCCCCAAACTGTGGTCATAGTCTGACTTCTTGCCTCACTGCATGCCTGTGACCACATCCCACCCCCACCCCCCATGTCTCATATCACTGCCTCCCTTACCTCACCTTCCACACAGACCCACATCACCTCTGTCATTGTATAGGAGAGAATGTGAAATACTGTCGAAAGAGTGGGATTTAGAGTCAGACAAGCTTGGGGTTGAATTTCAACTCTGACATCTTCTAGCTCTGTGGCCTTGGACAAGTTACTGAATGTGTCTCAGTTCCTTATTCATAAAATGGGGATCATATTGTCTACGCAATGAGGCTGATGTGAAGAATATATATTACCACTGTGGGGAGATAAGATGGTATAATTGGTAGGAATAAAGGCTGTGGAGTCAGGCTGATGAGGATTCAAATTCCAGCACTTCACTTATTAGTGGTGTCCCTATAGGTGAATTTCTGAACCTAGTGAACCTTCGTCTCCCCATCTGTATCTTATATATAGCATTGCTGTAGTAAATGAAATGATACAAGTAAAGTGTTCACTTAGTGCTTGGCCCATAATACATGCTCAATAAATGAGAGCAATTGTTAGTATTATCATAACGGCAGTAAATGTCTTCTCCCTTTTTCTTTCCTAATTTTCTTAAATTCCTCGCCCACACCTCCCAGAAGAATGTCAGGATTCCCAATTGAGAAGGGAAGGACAGTAATCAGGGTGTGCTTTTTCCTAGTTTAGGGTCAGAGGGAAAGAAAAAGTCCAGCCCATGAGAGCTTTACTGGGGATGGATAAAGCACTCTTGAGATTCTAGGGAGTGGTTGCACTCATGGGGGACAGCGATTTGTCAGGTGACCAGGAAGGCAGCTGGGTCACCCCCACCCATGCTGTTGTTTGAACAGGCTGATGCTGGTGGTTTGATTCCCAGTTTAGGGTGGAGAAGCCCCTGAGAGTTGGGATTGTGAGGACACCTCCATTTCTACCCCAGAAAGCTCATTGACAACCTCCCTTTCCCTGCAGAGTGGTGAAGGAGGAGATCTCAGATGACAATGCCAAGTTGCCCTGCTTCAATGGCCGGGTGGTGTCCTGGGTAAGGATCCTTCCTCAACCCTCCCTCCGTCCACATTCCTGCCATGGGCTGGACGGAGGAAAAACATTGCTAAGGTTATAGCTGATGGTTTTATGTTTCAGTATCTGAACTGTCCTCGAGTTTCTAACTGAACAGTTTCTACCCCAAATTCTATAGCCTTGGTGAAAACTGGGGGAGTGGTGTGAAAGGGAAAAGGCGGCTACAGAAACATACATAGGAGGCAAAATTGTTTCCTATGCCCTTGGAGGCACTTTGCCTCGGGTTCCCTTCTGTCACCTGCTGAACTCTGCCTTGGACACTTACCCTCTGCCCCCATCCCACTTCACCAGCCCATGCCTCCCTGACACCATCCACCTGGCAGTGGGTCCGCTCCTCAGGTCAGCTGTCCTTGCATAGTCCTGTCTCTTTTCCCTCCATGTCCCCTGCTTCATTCTCCCCAAGTCTTCATGCCCTGCCAGAAGCCAACTATCCTACGTGCCCTCGTGCCATACTACCTACCCATTTTCTCCCCATCAGCTGGTGTCAGCTGAAGGCTCACACCCAGAGCCAGCTCCCTTCTGTGCTGATAACCCATCGGAGCTGCCACCTCCCATGGAGCGCACAGGAGGCATTGGGGACTCCCGGCCTCCATCCTTCCAGTGAGTGTGACCTGAGGGTAGGCAGGGCCTGTGGGGAGGGCCAGGTCAGCTCAGCCCAGGGCTGGGGGAGGGAGCCCCCAGCCTGCCCCCTCCCCCACCAAGTCCTATCTTCCCTGCAGCCCTCATGCTGGTGGGGGCAGCCAGGAGAACCTGGACAATGACACAGAGACGGACTCCTTGGTGTCTGCCCAGCGGGAGCGGCCTCGCAGGAGGGACGGCCCAGAGCACAGTGCGTCTTCCCTGAACAGATGCTTTCCCCATCCCTGTGCCCTCCCCACAGCTTCCACTCAGCTGACCACCTCTTTGCCCAACTTCCTGAGCTCGGGATAGGACTGGCCCCAGTGCAGCCCCTAGCCTGCCTCTCCTCCCTTCCCTCCTACACTGGGCACTGTGAACCCAGCTGCCTCCATCCCCTGCAGCAACCCGGCTAAATGGAACTGCAAAAGGGGAGCGGCGGCGAGAACCAGGGGGTTACGACAGCTCGACTACCCTCATGAGCAGCGAGTTGGAGACCACCAGCTTCTTTGATTCCGAGGAGGATGACTCCACCAGCAGGTAGGGCCTTGGTTTCATGAGGACTGGTGGGCAGGTGATCCTTGAGGAGCCCTGAACCCTGAGGATACTGGGCCCCTGGGAGGGATGTGGGCTTTGTGCTGGGGGCCTGGGCCCTGCAGTGCCTCTTACGGGGCAGGGCTAGGTCAGCCTGGTGGGGAACGACTGTGGGCCCCACAGGTTCAGCAGCTCCACAGAGCAGAGCAGTGCTTCACGCCTGATGAGAAGACACAAGCGGCGGCGGCGGAAGCAGAAGGTTTCCCGGATTGAGCGGGTATGGGACCTGGGGTGCTAGGGATGAGTGGGGCAAGGCCAGGGCTTATCCGTCCTTAGATCCCCAACCCTTGGGTCAGTGTTTAGAACCTTAGAGGGAAGGTGGTGGCTGAAGGCTCACCTTGAGGAGGAGCTAGGGGAGAGCAGTGAGTTCCTGCCACCCCTGCCTGCTGCTCAAAGTCTCTCTCTATTCCAGTCCTCATCCTTCAGCAGCATCACGGACTCCACTATGTCACTCAACATCATCACGGTCACGCTCAACATGGGTGAGTCTGGTGAAACAACACTCTTGAGTGCCTACTGTGTGCCAGACACTGGGCAGACTCAAGGAGTTTAAAGAGACACAAGTTATGTTCCCTGCCCTCAAGGAGATTTCTTTCATAAACCTAAACTATTATTTCAGTATCTCATGATTAGGGCTATGCGAGAGAGAAGCACACACAGCTATGGGAGCAGAGAAAAGCATCAAGGAAGGCTTCCTGGAGGAAGTGATTTCTGATTGCTTCCCATTTCCCATGTTTTAGCTGTTGCATTCTTGTTCCCTGATTTTTGCCCTACCCACTCTTTTAAGAGATGGCTGGGTGTAGTGAAAAGAGCCCCAACTTTGTCTGGAATTTAAATGAGTTTGAATACTGGTTTTGCCATTTAATGGCTTAGAAGAGTCACTTAAATTCTCTGAACCTCAGTTGTCTACTCTGTAAAATGAGACTGAGCATCCGTGCCTCACATCCAGCAAGGATTAATGAAAGCCTATTGAGCATGCTGAACCCAGTGCCTGGTTCCAGTTCAATAAATGTTAGCTCTTATCCCTTTACACTCTTTCTAATAAGGGGCTCAGAATTTGGTTAGGAACCTTGCTCCCATCTCAAGGTCTTATTACTCCCTGTAGAAAAGTATAACTTCTTGGGCATCTCCATTGTGGGCCAAAGCAACGAGCGTGGTGACGGAGGCATCTACATTGGCTCTATCATGAAGGGTGGGGCCGTGGCTGCTGATGGACGCATCGAGCCTGGAGATATGCTGTTACAGGTACCATTGTTCACTGTGGCTGGTGGTGTAGAAAGGGAGTTGGGGAGATGTACCCTCTGTCCCTTCTCATTCTTCCTACCCTCTCTACCCTATTCAGAGGCCCCTTCTTGGTGGGGAAGACCTCCTGATCCACCAAGCTTCCCTAACTCCCTCCCCAGCACAGCTGCTTATCCCATTCCTGGTCCTATTTCCCAGGTAAACGAGATCAACTTTGAGAACATGAGTAATGACGACGCAGTCCGGGTACTGCGGGAGATTGTGCACAAACCAGGGTATGGATGGGCTGAAGCATTACGGAGGAGGTGCCAGGCATTTCTGGCTATCAGGCAAGGGGCTTGGTCTCGCCTCCATACATCCTGCCCTCACTAGGGACACCCTTGCTTTCAGGCCCATCACCCTGACTGTAGCCAAGTGCTGGGACCCAAGTCCACGTGGTTGCTTCACATTGCCCAGGAGTAAGTGGATGGGGAAATTGGCCCTAAAACTGGTGTCTGGCATACACGAGCTCTGTCTCTCCTGCCTTCTGTGTTGCCCTGAACCCTCACACCTACCCTGTTGGGCCCAGCACTGGGCAGGGTGGGCAGCCCCTAACTCCTCATCCTCCCTGCAGGCGAGCCCATCCGGCCCATTGACCCTGCGGCCTGGGTCTCCCACACTGCAGCCATGACTGGCACCTTCCCTGCCTACGGCATGAGCCCCTCCCTGAGCACCATCACCTCCACCAGCTCCTCTATCACCAGCTCCATCCCTGACACAGAGCGTGAGTGTCCAACCCTGTCCCCTGGGCCCAGCAGACAGGGCCAGGTGAGAGGGACTGATGAAGGCCCATGTGGAGACTTGCTTGAAAGGCAGAGGGGCCGGAGGGGGCTCGGCTCATTCCAGCTACTTCACACTGCAGCTTCCCTCGGGACACCCGAAGCTCACTAAACAGTGTTTGCTTCTGAACTGGTATTGAGCACCCAGTGAGCCTCAGTTTCCTCTTGTAAAATGGGACTAAAGATGTGCACGTTACCAGGTTCCTGGGGGTTAATGAGAGGATATAAGTGAAGCAGTTATCACAGTGTGTGGCATAAAGTAAGCACGTAATAATGACTGCCATTCTTAATCATCATAACACTCGTTATGCACTATACTAAGCACCTTCATTTACATTATTTAATTATCTTCAAACATCCCTATAAAGTAGACGTGAAAGTCCCTATTTTTACAGGAGAAACTGAGTGTCCAAGAAGTCCAACACTGGTCCATATTGGTCCATATTTATTAGGCGGTAGAACTGGAATGCAAACTCCCGTCTGCCTACCTCCACAGCCCCTTTCTGCCTGACCATTTTGCTTCCCACCCCCAGGCCTAGACGACTTTCACCTGTCCATCCACAGTGACATGGCTGCCATTGTGAAAGCCATGGCTTCCCCTGAATCCGGGCTGGAGGTCCGAGACCGCATGTGGCTCAAGATCACTATCCCCAACGCTTTCATCGGTGAGAGGGCCCCATGGTGGGATGAAGGATGGGGTGGTGGGCAGTGAGGGAGCAGGATAGGCTAGGCGCCCAATAACTCCCTTGAGCTGGAACTAGGCCCAGCCTCATGGCTTCTGTGAGGCCAGATGAGCCCAAGGTGGGCCTCCCAATCAAAGGTAGCTTTGCTCCCAGGCTCGGATGTGGTGGACTGGCTGTACCACAACGTGGAAGGCTTCACTGACCGGCGAGAAGCCCGCAAGTATGCAAGCAACCTGCTGAAAGCTGGCTTCATCCGCCACACTGTCAACAAGATCACCTTCTCCGAGCAGTGCTACTACATCTTCGGTGACCTCTGCGGCAGTACGTGCCTCCCCCCTTCCTTGCCCTGTCTTCTGGCTGGGAGCGGGGCGGTGCCCAGGGGTGTGGCGGCAGACTCCAGGGAACCCAGAGGAGGGGGCAGCAGAGCTGGGCTCCCAGCTCAAGGCCTGAGAGTTTTGTGGTGGAAGCAGAACCCAGTTCAGCCTCTTCACCTGCCTTGCGTCCCCTGGAGGGGCTGGCATTTTCTAAGCGCCTGGCACCATGCTGATTGTTTCTAAAACATCATCTCACTCTGTCACTCAGTCCTCACAACCTCCTCTCTGCCCTTGGGGAGATGGATTACTATCCCTGTTTTCAGAAGAAGCAACTGAGATATGTAGACGGTAAATAGTCCACCCCAGGTTTCACTACTAGAAGCAGAGAAACTAGGCCATGGTTCCAGGTCTTTCTGGCTCCAGAGCCCTTGTTCTTCCCACCACCTGGGTTTGACCAGGTGTGTAGTGGTGCAGAAACATTGTCTTAGCAAGGCCAGAGTTCCTTTCCTTGGGCCCTGCTTAGCTTCCCAGCATCAAGCAGGGTCCACCAGGGTAGGGCCTAGGATTTGTCTGAGGCCTCATGTCCTCAGCTTCCTCAGACCTCTGTGGAGGGACTGTGCTTCAGGATGGAGCTAGAGAAGCTATCAGGGCCAGGTTGTAGAGAGGGGTGGGGAATGTCCAGCCTGTGGATGGTATAAGGCCCTCGAAATCATTTGGTCTGGCCCTGCCAAGGCATTAGGGGTGAGTTAATTAAATGTTTGACTAAATATAACAGGCTAATTTTTAAGTTGATAATTTTATATGGCCTGTGAATGATGTTACAAATATCCAAGTGGCCTTTGGCAGAAAAAAGGTTCTCCACCCCTGTTGTAGAGGATTCTACAAGCTATCACAGGAGCTGGACTTGATCCTGAAAAAGTGCAAAGCCAGTTAGGGTTAGTAAGCAGGAGAGGTCTGCGTGGAAGCCCTCTTCTCTTTCTGAAGCCCTTTGGAAGGGGAGTCTTCGAAACAGGACAGCATCGCTCAGTGTTGGGAGCTGAAACCCTCCCCCAGCAGCCACCTCTACCTGAGGGAACCTTCTCTGAGCCCAGTGGTGCTGGCTGGAGTCCAAAAACTAACTCTTAAAATGCTTCAGATTAGGTTCTAGGGACCAGAAAAGCTGTTCCTGCAGAGCACAAGTCCTGGTGGAGGGTGGGTCCCTGGCCCTCAGCTGTTCCAGTGTGGCCACATGGAGTAGATGCACAGAGTTTTGGAGTTAGATAGCTCTGAGTTCAAATCCTAGCACCACCCTTACTGTGTGAACATGAGTGACAGCCTCTCAATGCCTCAATTTGTTGATCTGTAAGGTGGAAGTAATAGTAGAATCTATATCATAGAGCTGTTTTGAGGACAATGTAATGTATATAATGCTTTCAGCACCATGTTTAGCCCACAGAAAGTACCCTTTAAAAAGTCCATTCTTCATATATTTAATTGATTCTAAGATGAACACTTATTTCGCATTTCAGTGTCTGAAATTGGAGTGCATCTTACAACCAGTGGCTTCTTAGACTCAATCAAGTGTGATACAGTGGGGCCTTGACTTACGAGTGTCCCGACTAACGAGTTTTTTGAGATACCAGCTGTCTCTCGGCTGATTTTTTGCATTGAGTTGATAGAGTAATTTGAGTTAACGAGCTCCTTAACGAGCTCCTTAATGAGCTCGGTCTCGGAACGAATTAAACTCATAAGTCAAGGCCCCAGTGTATTGTCATCCTTAGCAGAATCAGCCCTGATCCCAAATTTCCAGGGACACATAAAGCTTTTCAGAAGAGCTCTAGTTTTTGCTCAAGAGACATCCTTCTGTCCCTGGGTCCTCCTGGATCTTCTACCCATGGACCTGGCACCAGAGGCCCAGCTCAGGGAGATACTGACATAACAGGTCTTTTCCTTCTCACTGGCTGAGGTGTCCTAAGCTGGGAGTGTGGCAAGCTCAAAGGGAAAAGCCAAGGACCTGGGTAGCCCCAGGAACACATAGTCACTCCCCTTGGGATGATAGCCTGGAAGCTGAAATAGTCACCAGCTCCTGGAACATGAGCCAAGGCAGGCCCCTGCTTACCACCACCACCACCACCCTTCATGCTAGCTGCTGGCCTTGACAAGTTCATGGCTTGGCTGGAAGACTTCATTGGCTGCTTTAGCTCCCTTGGGCCCCCTCTCCTTATCTCTTCTCCCCTGGAAGGTTGGGCTGGCTTACTTAAGGGCTTGGAACAAAGGGCTCAGTCTATATCTGGCAGGCCTCTGGGACCTGGTACAGATGGGGTGTGAGTAAGGGGTGTCCAAGGCAGGTCATTAGTCCTAGTGGCCCCTTAAACTCCCTTCCAGGTAGTTCCAACATTAGTGGGGGCATCCTTATCCTTAACATTTACTGGGGGAGCCAGAGTCGTGAAAGAAGTAATGTTAATACAATGTAGAACCACGCCTCCCTGGGAATGGGGTGGAGAGCACAGTCGAGGCACCTAACTTGTTCTCTTTCTGGGCCCTTCCCACCCCACTTCCACCTCCCCAGCAGCACCAGGAAATTGATTCTGGCCAATGGCCCTCTATATGGGGAGGTTCTGAAAGGCCCTATGTTCATTCTGGTTTTTAATGGGTATTTTTTTTAGTGTTAGGTGAGGGGAGGGCACAATTTCACCAAACTGCTCCCTACTCCTTACTGATTTCCTCATCTGGAAATGTAAAAAAGTTAGCAACTTTTAGCTTCTGTTCTGCCTACAGTTTAGGTTGAACTCAGGCTGGTCACTTAACCTCTCTGGACTGCACTTACTTCATCTGGAAAAAATGTGCCAGCACCTTCTTCATAGGGTTGGGGTAATATTTGTATGAAATAGTGTTTTGTATTGTGCCTAATGAATTGCAGGTATGCAGTACCTACCTGATCGTTGTCCGAGATTTCAGCCTCCTACATTCCTCTACCTTTTACCCTCTAAGTCAGCAATTTTCAGTCTTTTTCATCTCATGGCACATATAAGTTAAATACTAAAATTCTGTGGCACACACACACACAAATTGTTTTGCCAACCTGACAAAAAAGATCGGTATAATTTAGACTCACTCACATGGGACGGTTATTGTTGTGTTGGCCACTGTTTTTATTTGACAATCTAAGGAAAAAGAGGTCAGAGCCCCTCACTAGTCAGGTACTGCGTGTTTTAAAAATTCTGGTGGCACACCAGTTGAAAATCACTGCCCTCAGTGAACAGAGTGAGTTTTGTCCCTTCCAGTCCACTGAGGAAGGAGGAGAAACTGCCAAAGGCTTTTCTGGGAGTTGGGTGTCAGGATTTGGCATTGAGGCTAGGAATGGTGACTGGGGCCTCCCTGAGAAGGGTTTTCCCTGGGGCTGTCTGCAGGGGCTCCCTCTCTACCATCTCTGTTGGGTGGTGAGGAGGGTTTAAGAAGGAATGTGAGCTCTCTGGCCTATGCCTCCTCCCATAATGGTGGGAAACTACCACTGCTGTTGTCATCTCATATGCATCCAATGCAGCCTAGGCTGGGACCTCCCTCCTGACAGAGGTGCAAAGGTATGGGGGAGTCCCAACATCCGGCCCTCTCCTGCCCTCCACAGACATGGCCAACCTGTCCCTCCACGATCACGACGGCTCCAGCGGTGCCTCTGACCAGGACACACTGGCCCCTTTGCCGCACCCGGGGGCTGCCCCTTGGCCCATGGCTTTCCCCTACCAGTACCCGCCACCCCCGCACCCCTACAACCCGCACCCAGGCTTCCCGGAGCTGGGGTACAGCTACGGCGGGGGCAGTGCCAGCAGTCAGCACAGTGAAGGTAAGATGGAGGAGACAAGTAAGGTGGAGGAGACCCAGGCTTCCTCCGCGAGCTCTTGAACACCCACCACCCTGCCCCTGCCTGTCCCCTGCAGGCAGCCGGAGCAGTGGCTCCAACCGCAGCGGCAGCGACCGGCGGAAAGAGAAAGACCCGAAGGCTGGAGACTCGAAGTCAGGTGGCAGCGGCAGCGAGTCGGACCACACAACCCGCAGCAGCCTGCGGGGGCCCCGGGAGCGGGCGCCCAGCGAGCGCTCGGGGCCTGCCGCCAGCGAGCACAGCCACCGCAGCCACCACTCGCTGGCCAGCAGCCTGCGCAGCCATCACACGCACCCGAGCTACGGCCCCCCTGGCGTGCCCCCTCTCTACGGCCCCCCCATGCTGATGATGCCCCCACCGCCCGCGGCCATGGGACCCCCAGGAGCCCCCCCAGGCCGTGACCTGGCCTCGGTGCCCCCCGAACTGACTGCCAGCAGACAGTCCTTCCGCATGGCCATGGGAAACCCCAGTGAGTTCTTTGTGGATGTGATGTGAGCAGGGCCCCTCCCCCACTTTCATCCCACCTCTAACCTGGCTGGCTGCGTCCCTCTCTCCATCTGTCCAGTCTTTTTTACTTTGGTACCTGAAAGGGAAATAAACGGAACTAAATCCAGGCGCGCTAACTGCTCGCTGAGCTCAGCGAGGGTGGGGTGACCCACATGGCTATTGCAGCCCCTAACCTGCCAGCAGCCCCAGCTTGTCCCTCTGCCCACTAACTGCTGCACAGGACTTCTCAGGATCCTTCATGTCCCTGGGACCCAACTTGCTGGTGCTGCTCCTGACTCCCTTCACCTGTGCATACACTTCAGGAATTCAACTGTGCCCTTGAGGGCCTGCCCAGCCCCTTATCCCCACCATTTCCCCACCTCGGTTCCCTTTCACCATTCATTCAGCTACGCCATCTTCCTATTAACCTCATCGCCACAAGCATGTGTCCCATCTCTGAACTGCCCCACACACGCAATACTGACACCAAAAAAATACTTGCTTCATCTGCCCCTCCTAATTGTTCCTTGCCTGCTGCCTGACTGTCTCTTGCCTGCTGCTTGCACCCTAGAGTTGTGGGTCACGTTTAGTAAGTATCCATGCTATCCCTTCCTGCACTGGGCCCTTACCAGGAGCCCAGTGGGGGCCTTCGTTGCCTGATCTCTGCTCTACCCCACCCCTTGCCTGCAATTGTGTGCTGGTTCCTTCAAACCCCTAACCCTACTAACCAACAGGCTCATCTCACCTCTGGGCCTGAAACATGTCTTTTCTTTCTTTTTTCCTCCCCCAATTTTTCCTGGGCGTGGAGCAGCCAAGAATTTCGGGCTGTTTGACTTTCTGTGAGCCCCCAGCGAGGGGAGGCCCAGTCTCCGAGGAAACCAGGAACCCTGCTTCAACAGCCCCTCAGGGCTTCCCGAGGATATGCAGCCCCCACACCCACACTTCAGCATGTTGAGTCACTAGGCTTCTGGGGAGGGCTCCAGCCCTTTGCCCATATATGAGGGACTGTTCGCCTTTCCAGAGAGTGTGCGTGCTCTCTCTCTTTCTCTATCACACACGTGCACACACACAGGTGCCTATGCAAGTCCAATTAAGCCTCAGGGCTGGTCCCTGCCCAGAGGGCTGGCCCTCTCTCTCCCAATTTTTTCCCAGGTTGTGGGGCTGGTCCCCTGACTTACCTCTATCCTTCCTCCCCTTCCTCATAGCCCTTAAGCCTCCCCATGTCCCTATCATCATCCTACCTGGATAAAGCCCATATGTGGGGCTCATCAGAGGACTCCCCAGACAACGAGCAGGCTGTTCTCACCTTGCCCCCTGCATTGCACACTTTTTCCTGTTTTCACATCACCATGATACCCCAGAGCAGCGGTTCTCAACCTGTGGGTCACGAACAAGAAAATACATCCTGCATATCAGATATTTACATTACGATTCATAACAGTAGCAAAATTACAGTTATGAAGTAGCAACGAAAATAATTTTATGGTTGGGGGTCACCACAACATGAGGAATTGTATTAAAGGGTCGCAGCATTAGGAAGGTTGAGAACCACTGCCCCAGAGCATGATTGGGCAAGGGGAATTCTGGGAGTGTCAGGTTTTTGTTTTTAACCTGTTTTCTACTTTAAACAAATTATGACTTTAAGCCTCTTCTATAAATTCTTTTGGCTCACTTGGGCTCCCATATTTTCAGAACTGGGGTGTCAAGAGATGAAGTACTAAATTCCAGGCTTTGGGGCAAACCAGGGAAGGGGCATTTGGCATTCATTTAAATACTTTGTGGGTTTTTTTGTGAGTGAAGGCTACATTGGAAATTTGACTCACTCTTGCCTGCCTTCTAGCAGCTCTAGTTTGCTCCCAACCCAGACCATGGCTTCCTCTAGCCACCTGGGAGGAGGGCTGCCTCCTATACTTCTCTTTTTTTTCTGACTCTGCCATGTCCAACTTTCTTGAGAATACTTCCACTATTGCTCATGCCTTCAGTGTTGGTGCTCCCTGTGTTCTGTCTTCAATCCACTTCTCTTTCCTATTTACTCCCCAAATGGTATCATCCATCAGGAGGTCCTTACCTGCCTTTGATATGCTGGGGGTTCTCAAATATATCTCTCCATCCCCAATTTCCTCCAATCTTTAGATTTGTGTTTTTATTATTCACCAGACATCTCCATGGACATGTCCATATGGACTCAATGCATTTCCCCCACTTCATGAATTCCAATCCTAGTTACTTTCACAATCTACATAGGCTCATCAGCTAGAAACATCTATGGACTTAAATCCCTTCCCAAATCTTACTATTCAGCAGATCATATCCATTCTACTCCAACAATCTTTCTTGAATTCAGCCCTTCTCCCCTCTGCCTCTGCTCTAGTTCACAGGAGCATGAGATTTGGAGTCAAGTTGTTCTGGGTTTGAATCCCAGCTCTACTACTTTTTGGTTGTGTGATAGGAGAGTTATTTAATCTCTCTGAGCCTCAGTTCCCTCATATGTAAAATGACGATAATAATACCTACCTCACAGGGTTGTTGTGAGGATTTAAATTAGATATTGTACGAAAAGTGCCTAGCACAGTGCCTGGCACACAGTAGAATAGGTGCTCAATAAATGGTAGCTATTATTACTATTATTATTATTATTATTTGCTCTAAATTGGTAAGGATTTAGGGTATTAATTGAAGATAAATCTTTGGAAAAGGTAGGAGTGAAGCCTTGTGTGCTGATTCAAGGATCAGAAATGCCTGTATTTGGTCACTTGATGGCTTCAGGTTATGACCACGGTTTTAATGAAGGAGGCCAAATCTTCATCCTGCCACATCTTGGCTTCTGAAAGAGGATGCTAGGGACAGTAAGGCTTGCAACCAGGTTCGCCCTTTCTTATCCTTCCTTCCTCCCATGACGGGCTCAGCCCTGACCAGCGAAGGCATCAGGGTATCTCTCTGTATAGAAAGAGAAAAGCTAACATATTTTTTTCAGGTCCTACAAGAGCCAGGCATGCCTTTCATGTTTGAGGGTTGGCTCTGTCTTTTCAGCTTGGATGTGAAGATTAACTCTGTTCAGAGAGGGAATTTCAAATCCCATGTTCAGTTAAATTCACCAATGGTTTTCTAAACATATCTGCCTCTCACTAGAAGGCACACAGGTTGTGGCCTTGAGGAACTGACAGTAACATAGGTATAGATGAAGTAGAACATGGACATAGTCTTGAAAAGATTTATCTAGTTTCTTCCGAGTATTTGTCTCTTCACTCCCTGTTCCCTTCCTTGGGTCTTGATCCCTGGAGAAAAGCTCACGTCTGGCAAATATATACGATGAAAAATTAAAATTTGGGAGAGTCAGAGGTGGTGTTAGAAAGCAGTAAATTCAGCACAAACACTTCTTCTGCCAGGTCGCGTGTTGTATGGAAAGTGAGGACAGCCAGTCCTCGGACTTCGGAGACACTAAAGGCCTACAACGATCCAAGACTTACCAGATGGACTTCTAATGGTAGTAATCCTCTGAGGCTCTCCGAAACACTGACATAGGAACGGGAGGGACCTCAGAAACTACAATTCCCAGAATGCTCAGTGGGGGAAAGGAAGTGAGCGGAATCGGATAGGCTGGGAAGTGCCTTTCGGCTAAGGCTGGATTAGGCCACTCCTAGCCCTCCCCCAAGGAACTCCTACTCTCCTTTTCGAAGGTTCTCGAAGGCAGTCGGTAGTTGTAGTTTTGCTAAATCTTGAGAGCTTAAAATTGTAAGCGAGAAAGCCCGAGGACCTGACGGGATTTGTAGTCCGTGCGGGAGCCCGGCGCGCAGGCGCAGCGGAGGCCGGGGCGGGGCCGCGGCACTGCAGTGAAAGCCGAGGCAGCGGGCAGGCGAGCAGGGGGCGGGCGGACATCTTGGGATCCGGAGAGCGGCCGGGCGGGCGGAGCAGGGGCCGCGGACACCAGGTGAGCTCGGGGCCTGGCCTCACGGGATGAGGGAGGACGCCTGCCCAACGGCAGCTTTGCCCTTCCCTTCCCTGCACAGCGTCGGCGGAAAGCTGCCCACACCCGGGAGCGGCCTCAGCCTCTTAGATCCCGGAGGAGCTGACGGCGGGCGGAGACGCCCGGGGCGCGGTCGCAGGACGGGCGGGGAGCGCGCCCTCCAGCTGACCCGCCCGGCGCCTTCCTGGGGAGGGAGATCCACTAGAACCCTCCCAGGGCAGGGACCCCGCGCGGCGCCCCCTCCCTGGGACGGCGACAGCGCCCCTGCCCCTCGACGCCGCCCCTCGGCGCCAGGACTGTCTCCCCACCTCCCAGGACAGTGACACCCCCCGGGCCGCCTCCTGGGACTGTGACAAGCCTCCCCCCCTCCCCGTGGAGTGACAGCCCGAGGCTCTCATTCCTCAGCGTGTGACAGCCCCGCACCCCGCGCAACCATCTTTTCCCGCGATGTCTTCCTTCCCAGGGCAAAAGCCCACCCTCGGTCCCCTCATGCCTCTACCCCTGGACCCCACCGCGGGCCCCATCTCCCAGCCCCTAGTCGCCACTGCCGGGCGCCCCCTGCCGGCCTTCCTCCGCAAAGCCCTGACCTTTGCCGTCTGAACCCGCTCCCTGGGCCCCACCCGCTGCTGCCGTGGGCACTGAGCATTCTGCCCGCCGCCGCCGCCGCCGGGTCCCGGGTCCCCGCTTAAGCAACATTCATTCCGCGCCTGCCCGGGCCCGAGCTTCCCCCCGGAGCCTTGATGCCTGGGAACTTGGTTCCTTGCCCAGGCTCCACCTCCATCTTGCCTTTCCCCTCCTGAACTCGCAGGGACCGAGGCATGGGTCGTGTCCGCCACCTCCAGAGACCTCTCGCCGAGTCTGGGAGACCTCGGTGGCCATAGGAATGGGCTTTATCTTACAATTTAGAAAAGCCTGCTAAACTGCCCCCTGTGCAATCAATACCAGGGCTCATCCGGGACATCTAGAACTAAACGAACGCTTTTTGCCCTCGCAAACAGTCTGCGATACTTTGACCCAAATAATTGGATAGTCTGGGCATCCTGCCCCTCACATGTAGGCACCCAGGCCGGAAGTGGGTCTGGGATCGCAGAATTCCCGCTGGAAGGATCTCTTTAACTTTTCGGACCTGCATCCCCCCACCCCCACCCCCACCCCCGCCTTATTTTTATTGTACTTGGGAGCTGAGAGGGAGCCTCCCTTTTTGAAAGGAGGGGAGGTCGCCAAAAATAACTAAGCAGCTTGGGTCGTGTAAGTGTCGTCTGCAGGGCTGGGACCTTTCTCCTCTGCCCTTTTGCCTGCTTTCTGACTGCCTGGGGGAGGTTGGAGCCACACTCAGGGTCTACTAGTCAGTCAGGGCCTAAGGCCTCCCTTCTTTCCTCCTCTGCCCACCCTGCACACCCTTCCCGGGAATGCCTAGATTCCGGTGAATTAGAGATTCGGGCCCTGCCCCTTCTCGGAGGGTAGTGGAGACTGAGACTTGGTGCTCCTGGGGCTGTCCCTGAGCCCCAGGCCTGCCCCACGGGAGTCATTGCTGCCACCATTCCTGCTGCCACCATTCCTGCTGCCACCATTCCTGCAGCCAGGGGCAGGCCTTCCCGTCGACTCCCTGTGAGAGCCTGAGAGTCGGAAAAGGATCCTTGCTGAGCTCAGTTCTGTGAAGAGGGGGCGGGGCTACTCTCTGGGCTCAGCCCCAGAAAAGGGAGGATCAAAATGGCCTTAGTATCCTGGGCCCAAGTCCCTCACCATTTCTTTCTCCCGTCCAGTGTGGGATAAACAGGAACTGGAGCCTGGCTAAGGGGAGGAGCATGCCTTCAAGGGCTGCAGGGTCACTTGCTGGAGGGTTGAGTCAGGAAAAAAACACACAGATTGTGACCTGCACAGCCCCACAGTGGATGTGGGCAGGGGTTCTGAGGCCTTCCTTACCCTGCCTCTGCCTGTCCTAGGTCTGTTCTCAGAGCGATGGGCTGTGGAGACTGAGCTGCCGCCATGATTGGAGGCTTATTCATCTATAATCACAAGGGGGAGGTGCTCATCTCCCGGGTCTACCGAGATGACATCGGGTGAGTCCCCTGGCTGAACCGGCTGTGCCCCACCTCCATCCCTCCTCCCCAGCATGCAGGATTAGGTCTGTTCCTCTCAGTCACTTGACTTGGACCACTCCCACCCCAACCCCCACCCCTTCTGCATCATGGAAGCTCAGCATGTCCGGCCTGGCTCCCATGAGGTCTGGTAGTATTGGCCTGGCAACCAGTGCTGGCCCCCAGGTGGGACCTGTGGAATGACAGGGCCCTCACCATCCTAGGAACTGCTGCCTTTCCTGCCTCCTGTTTCCCTTAGTGACAGACCTGGTTGCTGGGATGAGTGCTTTTGCCTGGGCAGGTTGATTCCTCCTTTGAGGAGGAGGGAGACGTCTCCTGGGTGGAGTTAGTGGCCAGGCTGGAGGTACTAATCCATCTAAGTCTTGCCTTCAAAAGCCCTTCTCCTGACGAGAACCTTCACTGGATTCTTCTGAAATCCTCTTCCACTCCTTTTCTCAGAAAGAGGCAGGCTGCTGACTCAGCTGTTTTCAGTTCCTCTGGGCCATTCCTGGAGGAGAGATTGTGAGCACTGAGGCCCTCCCTGGGTCACTGAAGGAAAGGCACTCCCTGACCTATCAGAGGAGACCCAGAATAGCGTCTTGTTCTGGGTCCCACAGACCTTACAAGTGGGCACAGCCTTCCTTTTCATTCTGCCCCATCCTGCACGCTATTGTTCTTTCCTGAGGACATGGCCTAGCCTCAGCAGCTCTAATGAGGTTAGGCTCCTCGGTTTGTTTTTCTTAGGCCCTGTTTTTCTTCCTCAAAGATCTTGGGGATAGACAGTCAAAGAATGGGCTTGCTGCAGTGCCCCAGCTCGTTGGCTTTTGGCTCCCGGGCTGATGGACTGGCCTTTGTGGCTATTTGTCCACTGGCTGGTGGTGGGACATGAGCTAGAGATGTGGCAACACCTGGCTTGCCTGAGCCTGGCTGGCTACACCCATCGCATCCTGCTCCGGCCCTGCATGGACCTGGTTAAGCCAAGGCCAGGGCATACACCATCGTGCATGCCTTGCCGTGCTCTCCACCCCTTGCCTGTTGTCTGTTTTTACCTCATGGTGTGTGCCTACCCCAGTGTGTTGTGTGT